AGGAAAATATGTGGATCTCAATTTAAATATGTAGTTATAATGATGATACTTAACAAAACGCCCGACGAAAATAGACAGAACTCAATATTAGTACATAGTTTAGTATACACATTCGTATATAAGGTACGGTTTGAAGACTCTATCACCCTCTATTTCAAGACAGAAGCTGGTACCTACAAGTCTGATACAGGCTGATACTAATACAGCGGCGCAGGACCGGTCTTTGTGGAAATCCTTGGGGGAGGCCTTTGTCCAGCAGTGGACGTCTTTCGGCTGAAACGAACGAACGAACTAATACATAAATAACAAAAATGTAAAAATACCATTATCTTACAATTTTACGTTTAAAAGAGCAAAACTCCTTTAGGAGTGAGAATTTTATATTGTGAGTGACATGTCTAAATTGGATAAGGGATGTATAAAAAGGTCATGAAACTCATTTCCTTGATGCAATACCTACAGGACCACACAGGAAAGTCTGATCACAAAAACGCCTCAATTAATGCACAATGAACGAATAATGCTGCATGAATTCTGTAGATTATGTTATGGCGTAGTTACACTATGCGCGAAATCGGTCGAACAGTAGCGCAAATCCGTGCATGGAAGTATGGGAATCGCACGGCGAAACGAACTGAACTGCGTGTTTACACTATCTGATTGGAGCAATTTTGCGCATAGTGTAACTGCGCTATTATGTGAACCTACATCGCACATATTACGGAGGTGAGTCGTAAATCGGTTCGTTCCGGTGGACATGTTGAACGGCCATTGTTGCCGCCGCGATTGGAGAAGTTTGTTCTTGTGCGTTTGACCGCACTTTATGTTCACAAGCTTTACAGACCGATATAATTTCATGAACTATTTGTAGGATGTAGTAACGTTGATGTTTTTACCTACAATACTTTGACCGTAGTATTAAGTGTAGGTGCCTATAATATGGATATTAATTTTCCTTTTTCCTACTTTTTTCTTTATTTGGAACTGAACTTGCTCATATTAATCCGTCCGAATTCAGACCCACATTTCGGATTTTATAAATATTTCTGGTAATTTATTAGTTTTTTTCAATTTCAAATGTCACTTCCAACGGTATTATCTGAATTATTACTCCCATTGGCATTGTGTCTGACTGTACGAAATTGTTCCAATAAAATTTATGTGTCTTTCACGACAACGACCTGCCGAATGTGCCTCGGCGCTATAATATTTTACGATCTCCGGATGAATTGTCTCCTACTAGAGATGAAAGGAATTTAATTGACATCTTAAGAACGTTATTTTCAGCGTCCAAAGTTAATGTTATTTACTGGCTGCAGCCATGCTATTTTCTGTTGAACTTCGATGCTACAAATAGTAAATTAATTTTCCTTATTTTTAACTTTTAATTTTATTTTGTACAGTATTATCGCAAAGATAGTCTAAAATAGTTATGAAAATATTCAATGAAAACTCATGGAGTTCTCCCCTATTAAGCGAATTATGCTTGTATTCCATGTAGAGCCCTCGCCGACTATTTTATTCCGACGCACGGCCGCTTATTTGCACACGTTTTGAATGTCATTGTCATCGTGCTAATTGGCGCCGGAGCTTAACTGCACCATACATGCATAATATGTTCTACCAGCACACCTACATATGTGCACAAAGATAAGTTGGTTGAAGGACTATTTACTAACTTATCAGTGCACAAGCACATGCACTCTTGCCTACTTATCTGTGAGCGGGAAAGTAGAAAAAACGTTGATAAACATTATGGCAACAATTTAAACTTCTGTTTGCTTATAATTTTGGCTATTATCTTTAAATTCCAATTCACTATAAAATATCTTATGTGTACTTACCAATACACAATAATTACGATAGCCGAACGGTGAAGGGGTCGGAGTGGCCGACTCGAGATACGAGGAACGCGGGTTCGAATCCCACCGCTCGACTATTGTGGTGAGCCCACTCGTAACACAAGCTTATTTAGCTTAACACGAGGGGCTAATGGGACTATTAGTAATTTGGGCAATACAAATTGGTAATAATCTTTAAAAAAAAAAAAAATATGTTGTTACTTCTTCATCTTTACATTATTCCAGCAGTTTCTCCCGTCCGGGGTGCGGCAATGAGTATTAAAATGCAAATTGACGAGTTCTTAGGTACGGAAAGGCTTACTTCGGAGTTGTGTTCGCACAAAGGAATCCCAGTATGATATTTTAAGGTCTGTTTATTTCGTTTATGAAGAGCGAAAATGATCCTGAAAAGAGAAGGTGGGAGCACGCAGTTTGCTCGCAGAGGGTGCCCTCGTCGCCGCGGCTTCGAATGAATTTTTCCAGGCAGTTGAGTTCAAATGCGCTTCTGGCGTGAGTTGCCTCAACTCGAAAGCAAACTTTTCGTGCTTACATTACTTTAAATTCTTTTGCCTCTCAGCTTTGCTTTGCGATACTTTATACAGTATCCGTCCCAGTACCTGTATTTATTTGATGTTTCATAGGGGAAACTTTATGTTGGTAGGTACTTGAAAATAACTGAGAGCAGTACTTACTATAAATAAATTCCACTTCAGTGTACCTACCATGAGTTTACGTTATAGGTGTGCTCGCTAGCGATTACGTCAAAAATCTCTATGAAGATTTTGTTTCTCGAAAGTAGCCGCTAGGGGCGCTGCACAATATGTCATACTAATTAATGTCATTTTTTTACGCAGTCGCTAGCGAGCACACCTAACGTAAACTCATGGTAAGCACACAGGAAACTTTAAATGTAATATGCGTAAGTAATTTTGTTTAAAAGTGCAGATAAACTTGAATCTCCCATTTGCTAATTAAAAACATAAAAAGAATCTAATGCAAATAGTTGCTACTTCAATTTAATCAAGACTGAATGAGTTTAGTCACAGCTCTACCAAGTGTCTCTAAGTTTTGCAGACGAGCTTCTTGTTAATAAGCCTTACTATAATTGATTGTGTTGTATTTATTTAATTAAAACATTAAGTCTGATGAGGCGAATCGAAAATTGACGCCAAGTAAATTCCATTTCGAGGCAATATGTCTGACTAAATTGCCTTTAACAGTGGAAACAGGCAATATGATTCGGCGACGTTGGATCAAAGGCTAATTGCTCAATAAGCGGCGTGATATATTCGGATGCGAGGGCGACAAAAGCCACATTACCCGATATGTCTTTTCGTTCACGTGACGCATCAGAGTATAAATCGAAAATCAGGACTAATGAAGTTAATTGGTTCGTATTATTTTTACGCTCTATTTATTAAGTTAATTAAATACATTTTTGCTTCCCTCCTAATTAAAGGGCAGAGAGTAGGTAGTTAGTACTTAGAATTTATTATCAACCTAGATTCAAACAAGCTTTAATAGCCTTGTTTGTTAATTAGCTCATAATATTTTGATAAAATTCTTGTAACTAGGATTGTGTTTTACAGCTAAATGTCTTGTAATTAAGAAAAACTCCTGATAATTTATTATATCTTCCGTAATGATAATGCTACAAATTTAGTCTGTGGGCTCATTTCGAGATACTGTAACGTTTTGAATACGGATAAACCCCTGCTCTGAACTAAATATATGGCGACAAGCACTCAGCGTGATTACAGCTGGATACTATTAGATTTATACTAACGTAGCTTGCGATTTTGCGATTTACTGGTAAAGCCATTGTGAATTTTCACGTTTAGGTACACCAATGCGTGAATCTATAGGTATGTAGGTATATGGTTCATCATTTCATTGTCGAGGAAGACTATAGTAAAGTAGAGATTTCTACTATAAATTACTCAGCATAATAACTTCTCAGCATATATAAGGCTCTCTTTTTTCTCTGCTTTTTAAAGGATTATTCATCTGTACCCATACACACAAATTTTCCAAAGGTATATTAAGGTACTAATATACCTTTGGAAAATTTGTGTCTATTGAATAAACTTCCTTATTGAACCGGCAGTGGCTCCAGGCAACGCACCGATCAGGTGCTGTCGCACAATTTCACTTTCAATTTACAAGGTAGCTTTGTCTCCTCGCCCTCTGATTTTAGCCTTTCAATTAATCAGTAATCATACACGCCCCGGGCACCCTTTCATCAAACACTGGTAATGAGTTTTCACCCCATCGGATGGTGGACATCCGAGCTGTGATGGCCGGCGTGCACCTTGTTTTGTCTTTGCCGTGCACCGGCGTATACTCAATTAAGCGGGTAAATTAGGCGCCTGGACGTTGATTAATTTGCTTTAGTGCTTGTATAGCCACATACTGCCGTACAGCTTGCTTAGCTTCTATCATGTTAGAAATTAACGACGCATTACCTACCTAGCTCCTATTATGAAACTACTCATGAGATTATTATTTGGATCAGCTCTCTTGAAATGTAAAATTAATACTTGAAGTTTGGGACTCAATAAAAACAACGGAGTTCTCAAACGTTAGTTGAAAAGTAATTTACACTGTACCCTCTAAATCCTCTCGTCAAAAGAGCAGAGCTATAAAGCTGTTAGTTACACGCACCGATGATATTTAAAGGCAAAGATGTCGGCGTGCTCAGCCCACCATCCTCATTAGCGGTAATGGCGGTCGGTCCAGATATCTGAGCCAGAACGGCTTAATTAATACTGAAGACAACCTCTTTGTCAGATAATACATACAATAGATCCCCCGATAATCAGGATTTGGTTTCGAAAAATTCAATAAACGACGACATCTGGCGCTAGTAAGAATTTCAAAGTATGCTCTAGAGACGAGTACCTAAAGATAGTCATTTTACGTTTGTGCATTCCCTGAAAGAAGGAACTTATTTTTAACGTTCAAATCAAAGCACATTGCAGACGGTGAAAAGAGCTGGCAAGATTGTCTTTTAAAACTAGACCAAAGACTGCTTCGGGGACTAAACACTAGAAATAATAGACTTTATTCGAAATTGTATAGTATAATGCGAACAATGGGAACAATTTTGGAAAAATACATACGAAACTGTAATTGGATACAAATTTTATGGTAATTTCAGGAATTATTACACACGTCATATCCTCAGTCTTACCACGGTACAATTGACCAACTACGTTTAGTTACTTGTGACTTTAAAGTAGCATACGAACTGCCAAAATTTTACAATGGTAAAAATTTCAGGACAATTATATATAGAATTATTCTGAAATTTCCCTTATTATCCCTTATACATAGGAATTAAAACTGTTATAAAACGGCGTTCTCTGATATGAAATTACGAAAATTATTAATACCGTATCAGTTTATATCAAAATAAGGAACAACTTTGGTTTCGCTCAATACTCATTGAGCATTGTTTATGTTCCAAATACTACAGATGTATCTAACTTTAAATATTACATAGACATTATGCCACATATTATCATAACCGATACATTATAAACATTTCGTCGCAAACTGTACATACAATAGATAAAACAAAAATGATCCAAGTAAATTACAATAATTGCATATGAATTAATTAATTATTATTACAATAATACATTAAAATACGTTTATTACATAATCATATACGTATAAAAGAGTCATTTGTGATTAATTAAATCGATTGAATAAGAGACAACTCTACATAGAGCTTGCAAAAATTGAGAAATCTCAGAAAAATCCTAGCTGTACACTAAGCTACATAACAACTGTACATCAGTAGGTAATTTATATAAATTGAGGATGATACATTAATACCCGTTGTTGACCTTGATATAAATAAATAAAACAACGCGCTTATCCTAGAATACGAATTTGCAATACCGTTTGTATTACGAAATCGGGAAATTAAAGTGTTGCTATACTCAAATCATGAAAATTTCCCAAAAACGGTAGGTACCCACTCAAACAGGAAAAGCTTACAAAATCCGGAACTCTGATATTAACCGTCGAACTGAATTCAATTTAAGAAAACCATATTCAGAAATGACTTCATTGGCTATTTATTTTTTTATTTCTATGTTGTCAATGCATAAAAATTTTAATATTTACATGTGAATTTTCCTAATTCGATGTAGAAACACTTTAATTTCCCAGGCACCTGGTCTATAATGTTCCGGGAGGAAATTATAGGTGATCCGATTAATTCGGGACGCAGGAGGTCGTGCGAGGCGAGGAAATCATGCTGTCGCGTTGACGATGTCCCGGATGCTATTTACCTTACGTTTTATTACGACGAATGTTGTTTTGTTTCTTATTTTAAGAGTGACGCAACAAGAGACGTATATTTGAAGTAAAGCTTTTCTTAACACATTGTAACAAGAAACAATTGAAGTTATATTAATTTATTAATGAATCGAGTCACGGCCGTATCGTGCGTCCCAAAATATAATTAGCAACATTTTGATTAAATAGATCAAATAATTGAGATTTTACATGAAAAGATTATGTCATCAAACGGAGCAAAGTATCTATGTACAAAAATAAATATTTACAAACACGCGGCTTACAGACTAAACGCGCCTCCTGGAGAGACCAAAGATTACCGCAATCTCCCGTTTCCTCATAAATCTCCCCTATAATATTTTCCCCGCCTCTACAAAAGATACACCATCAGAACCTTTATAATATACCCGTTCTGCTTACGTTTTCTTATAAGATTATTTCCCGTAAGTCTCCCGGTGATTCGTTCCAGGTGAGCGATTATTATCAGGTGAAATATTATATTTTGCAATAGGAGCTTACAAAACAACTTACGATATTACAATGTTTGCTGAGTATTTACACAATATTGGAGTTATGTCTGCATAAACATAGGTACGATGAGTGACGGTTGAGATGAACAAAACAAATGAAGTTAGATGTCGTTTCATAGCTCGGTGCTCATCTCCGCGCCGGCCGGCTTGCTGCCCGCGCCGAAGGACCCTTCGCCAGGTGTTGCCTCGCCGGACGGGTTCAATTGCTCTGGAGCCTGAATTCGAGCAAAACTACTGTAAATATGACGACCTCTACAATAACAAATCTCAACAAATAACAATTCAAACTTGTATGCAAATTAAAACACAAAGTTAAAATTTTAACACAACACATTGTGCGACACAAAACAAACACAATTAGAAAAGAAACAACACAAAACATTAGAACAAATAGTTAGTGTATTAGTGTTAGTCTACAGATCTTAAACCTCTAACTAAACCGCATGCAAAACACAAACAATAAACAATCCTCGACGAGGGATACATAACAACAAACCAAGGGTGCGTGCAGCTACGCATTCAGCTAGTGGTTGCGACACAGACGGTGGGTCCAGTGCGGGGCCTTACTTACTGCGTGCTTTCTATGAGAGGTTTTAGGATAATGTCGAGGGTGTTGTCGTGGCGCGCGTGCGTTTGCGCGTGATGCGCGTGGGCGAGGCGCGAGTGCGTGCGCGCGAGATTCGCGTTGTGGTCGCGCGCCTCCCGCGAGTCACGCGCCGGCCGCGCGTACCGCCGCGCCAGCGACCCGCTTTCGCCCACCATAATGTTGTTGTTGCTAGCATGTCTCTGCGTATCCCAATAATCAAACGCCAGTCAAACTACCGGTGCACACCATAAATTGCTACACACATAAGTATAGTATAAAATAATAAATTATGTAATCAAGCTCGGAAATATGTAGAAACAGACACGTTTGAAGATATGATTTAGCCGCAGATTTATGTACTAAAGTGGTATTGTTTTTTGAATATGCCAATTTGTTTAGCCATAAATAAGTAATCAGCAAAATGATTGGCTGCAATTTTATTTAAAACCACTGTAGCACTTTGATTGTCTTTTCAAAGAAGCCCCTTAAGCATAGGCAGAAACAATAAATATTTAGAGATATGTTTTCTATATTCTAAATAATCGTCAGTGAATTAGACTAGCCTACTCAAATATGGCTAATTTGTGGATAGCCGTGGAAAATCATTTACAACAGTTTATCCCTTTGAGTTCTCGCTCAAAGGACGTTTAATCCCGTGGAAATGGTAAATGTTGAACGTTGTCAGCAGCCTGTACACGGTTAGCTTTATCAGCGCCAGAAACAGGAGCTGCGGATTATTCCCAACGGCCCCCGTAAGCCTATTTAATTCCGAAAACATTTTTCACTTTTTGCAACGAGCCCCATTCGGGATTCAGGTAAACAAATAAAATATTGGAGGAGGTACGTAAAGTGCGTTTTCATTTAAATTCTCTTTACATAGCAAAGGAATGCTTTCAGAATTTCATAACTTATGTATTTATTGGAAAGAATGTGAATCATTAATAGTCGCATTACTTTTAAATATGAACTTAAAATTTTAGCTTTTTAAAGAAATAAATGAGAGAAAATTTTATTATTTTCAAATTTGTTTTAACGAACGTAATTATTATTGAAAGGGATGGAAATGGGAATTTAAATAATAAAACAACAACATTATTTTCTTTTTGAAATATTGGAATCATGAGTTGTTTTACTTGGCCATGGACACACATGTTACGTATAAATTTATTCTTTAGTTATCTTTGTTGTAAGTATATACTTTCGGAAAATTTCCGTGTAAATTGACCACATTTTTTTCAGTTCAAGTCCATGACCAAGCTATGATCTGGAGGCCGTCGGGCTGCAGAAGTATGTTAATAAGCGAAGCGCCCACTCACGAAGAGAGAAAAGCCCCCGTCAGGTGGGGCGGCGCGAGTGGGGCGGTCGCGCGGCCGCCGCGAGGCTGCGCTGTCGCTCGCCACGGAGAGAAGCGAGCGCTGCGAGCCAGAGACTGCGCGGGCGCGGCCTGGGGCGGCTGGTGGGCGCCGCGAGACAGCCGCGCCGCCCCAGCCGTTGCCCCCGCCGCCCCAGCCGTTGCCCCCGCCGCCCCAGCCGTTGCCCCCGCCGCCCCACGCGCCGCCCCCTCCCGTGCCCGTCGCTCCGCACCACTGCCTACTCACAGGCGCTGTCACGCTGGAGCTGCCCGCGCCGCACTTGGCGCTGTCGCTTGACCTGGTGGATGTATTCTTCCTTAAGGACATAATTGAGAATCTAAGACTAGGAGAAGTTATCGTAGATAATTATATTATAATAAGAGAAGCTATAGTTCATAAAACGATATTTCTAAAAGCTTTTTCAAATCCTGGACTGACTCGTAAACTTGCCCACTTCTTTTGAACTTACTCTATCCAAGAAACGAACACATCCGAAAATAATCAAAATCATCAAATAAAAGTTACAAAATACCTTTCAGAAGAATACGCGTAGTCCTGATCAGCTCCCAATCCTGAGTCTGTATGCTCATGCGAAACTCTTGCGCTGCCAATCAGCTCTCCACTGGAACTGTTGCTGTTGCTATTTGTGACCGGACTGTAGGGGTTGTTGTTGTTCGAAACTGGGGTCACATTTCCCTTGTACCCGTTGTTGGTAAGGAAATCATCCCCGTTGCGACCTAAAGTGTCATCGTAACTTGGATAGATTCGCCTGAAAATATTTTGATAGTTATAAACTCGCCTTTAAAGCACTATTAACTTTCTTTGAAATAAATGGGTGTTAAGATAAATGTGTTCACCTTCCATGCTTCTCAGTGCCTGTTCGGTGCGTGCTCAGAGTACTTGAGCTCGACCTTAGAGATCCCTGATGATGGTTGTCATGGATAACTTTTCCGTGAGACGATGAACTCTTTTCTCGCCTAGCTAATGATCCATGTTCCGTCCTACGTAACGAAACATTATTTATTAGTTGCTTGAAGACTTAAATTAATATCATATTGACAATAGATTCTTTATTGACTTACTGCCTATGTTTAGAGGAAGTCCTGAGTTTAGTTTGCCGCGCATGACTAGTCTGGACAACTGTGTAGGGTATTTCCTTCAGCTGCTCCTCAGTCATACCCGTTGTGTCCACTAAAGAGAACTCCAAATGTTGCTTCAGTTCAGTCGGCAGCCATTTTTTATCATTTGGAGAGCCTGATCGGGACCTGATAAAGCACGTTTTGAATTAGCATAACGACCTGTAAAAATAATAGTCATGGAAAACGTCGTTAAGGGTTATTTACCGATGTTTTCTATGCCTTCGGTGCCTGTGAGACGACCTATGAGTACCAGTCTCTGGCTCCATTTGTGAACGGCGTACGTTGGCAACCTAGATAAAAGTATAAGTTAAGGAAAAAGTACTCAATAAACTTAACAATTAAATAAATGAATGATTCATACTTGAATGCCGCTTCCCGTATTATTTGTCTGCCGTAATACTTCTTTCCATTGGGATTCCGATTCAATTAGCTCGTATTCTCTGAAACAATATAAATAATAATAATCTATTTTTAACGAAATCACAGACACCCTTCGCGTAAACACATAAAAATAAACACAAATCGACTACGAACACGCGGAGCTAGCTGTAAAATGCGAACATGTTTTCATTTGCCAGCAATACGAGAAAATCAGCCTAGGATCAGGCTTGGTAGATAGGCAATAAAACACTTTAGCTGATGATGATAAATATAAACTTGGACTAACTTGGCATCAGGCTGCGAGTCGTCCCTCTCTGATCCGGACTCGTGCTTGTGTCGCGAGCGGTGCCGGCGATGCCGCCGCCCGGAGCGGCCGGAGCCTCGAGACAGCTCGCTTTCAGCATCCGACTGCTGCCGTCGAGAACGATGCTTGTGCCTGTTGGTGTTGGGGTGTCAATAAAGAGGGATTGTGAACAATTGGAGCAAGGACCTAGAGTTCAGTGATATTAAACTTCTGTTTATTAAAGGGTACTCTTTAGAAAATAATAGTATTTGCTACTATAGCACAAATGACCAAAAACTCTTAGATGGTCTCAAAAAAGTAGGTATAGTTATTACCAGCCACACGGATTTTATTCTTACAAAGGTAAAAAAAATACTTTTTATTAAGTCCTCAATAAAATAAGTAGTCAACAAAATTCATCGACAAACAAATTTAAAATAAAATAATTCCTGTTTCTACGAACGATATCCCGTAATTTCAAAGTAAACAGCCTGTGTCGCTTTAAGTTCTTTTGATATCCTTTGTTTACCATGATTAAATTCCCCTTAATTGAAATGGCGTTTCCAACAAGACAAAATGAGTAATTGCAAGTTGTTCATTTGCTTGGAGCTGACATTATTGAAGTCTCATTCGGGGAGCACAAAGGCTTATTGTGCGAAGTTCTGTCGTGCTAATAAAGTGCACTAAGAACTTTCCAAGTCCCCGTTAAGCTTCACCTGCTTAGAGAGCACTTCGCTTGCACAGTTCAAGTCCAGTTTGTTGCTTAAACATTGTTCAAAATCTGCATCTGTTTGCAATTAATGTCTTTACAATTTGTAGGTAACCTACAATGTTCATCGAAATACACTGTGGTGAATGTACCTATGTATAAGACAAGAATTTACTTTCTTATAATAAAAGAAGTTATGAGTATTCCTACTCATACTCATTTCATATAACCTACTCGTTCGAAACTAACAGATAAGCTTATCGCACACTCTTTTGCATTTTGAATTTTTTGTATATTAAATATAATTTGTAAATATAAAAGTCGGCCGTTTGGTGTAGTGGTTTCGGAACGGACTACTATGCCGAGAGGTCCCGGGTTCGATTCCCGGCCGCGCAGAAATTGAAATGATGAATTTTAATTTCTGTGTCGGGTCTGGGTGTTACAATGTATAATATGTATGTACCTATTTACAAAAAAAAAAAAACTAGGACCCATAGTACAAGCTTTGCTTAGTTTGGGACTAGAAGCGTAGTGTAAAATGTCCAAGGATATTTATTTATTTAATTTAGTCAAAAGAATTATGTTCCAGATAAAACGATAGACCATAAATACACAAACACTAAAGCTTTTACTCAGCTTAAAACTGGAGCAAGGACACAAGGTAACTTAAGCATAGATAATTTCGTACTTATAACGAGATACTTAAGTCAACTTCGGGATATTTTTCGTGTTGAACAAAATTCAACAGTATCTTTATAGGGTCGAGAACACGATTTGTTGGAAGTGATTAAAACTTTCGAAGACGAACGGAGTTCGCGACCAGACACTTCGACGCTAATTCTGCATTTTTCGAAAATAAATTACTACTGGACCAGAAGCTGTTTAACTTTTAAAGTTTGCCAAAGCTGAAAGATGTCTGAACGTACGCCAAGTAATTTTGAAAATTTGTGGAAAGTTAATTGAAACATTTAGTATGTGATCTTGGGGTCGGATTATATCCACCAAGTTACCAATAATTTAACAGAACATGATTTACATCAAGGTAATTATATCATTGAGTAAACTGACACCCACTTTGTGCTACGGAGATTTGTAAATTGTGACATTGATATCGCGTGTTTCAAGTCTCAGTGTATTGTATAGGCGTCCTTATCTCGCTAAATCAGATGTTTTATACTTTTCTTTCATTGAGTAGGTAGTTACTGATTCTACCACCCGTCTGTTTCTGTTCATTCATAAATAATAAAATTACTCGTGCAAAGTCGATATCTACATATGTATGTGTAAAGATAATTTTACGAGTTCCAATAAGCATCTAAACTTATCCCAGAAACTTTTTCGACATGGAAAAGATATAACGAGAATAGTAAATTTCATATCGGCGCTTTATTGCAACCAGAAGCCAACCAAGCGCTCATATTAAGACCCGCCAAATATTTTCCTTGACGTTTTCAATTTGCCTATCTATTCAAATATCCCCGTGTAAGGGGCTTTGAAGCCCAAACATTATGTACCTTCGAGTACATTATGGTAAAGTGCATTCCCGGCCTAGGCATATAATATTTTATGCGACAAATATGTAAAAAGTAAGTTAGTGAAATGTACCAACTTTTATTGGTGGAATTAATTACTTCTGAGACAAGTTAATACATAATAAGCCACATTTCCCTGAAAATAAATTTCAAATCAAGACTACGACTTGAGTTAAAGCCTTGTAATCGATCGAAATTAAATGGAGGTTGCTGCATCGCGACTAATCACATAGTGTTGCAATTACTTTTACATGAAATCGCAATATTGGAACATACATACTATGGAAACGTTCTAAGTACGATAACTAGAGGATGTTGAATATTATATGATTATTTATTCATAGTAAGATATAAAACTACTTCCATGTGTTAATTTTATGAACGTGCTAAATAAAACGCTAAATAGTGTGCAGATGTTCGTTTCGGTAGTTATTCACACGATATTGGAATTCAGTTCACATCTAGTAATTTCATTAAGGTTGAATTTCCCGTGTAACTTTTCTATATTTAGAATATAGATATCACATGTTATAGCGCGGATTCGTTTCCGAGCGCAGAGCTTGGACCCACGCAATCAATCAACCAATTAGGCGACGTCCGCTAGTAACATCGAAGCTAAAACTAGATAGGTATTTGAGTAGTATAGCAAATCTAAGTACGTAGTTGCTAGCATTTTATGTGAGCATCTTACATTGTATGAAAAAAAAAATAGATAGAGTATTAAATAGAGTTACAATTGTCTAGTAAAAATGGTGTAATACAGACAAAAAAAACACAACTTTGTTTGTGTATTATTAAAGATAACATGCCTGATGTTGATCCGCCAATAGTTAGTATGAAGCAGGCTTATCTTCCAGTTACCTACCTACTCTTGTGATCTTGTCCCTGTAGGTATTATTGAAACTTTGGCACTCCTACAAGTGACCTAAAGCTTGTCGCCATATTTTTCAATTGTATCAAAATAAATAAAACATGAGAGTGCAGGCCAAATACTCAGTTGTCAGAGAGTTATCCGCCTGTAGTTAGAGCATAAATGATCTGATGATGATGATCAAAATAAATATTGAAGTTCCTGTAGAAAAATGATTACTTACTTGCGATTCGACCTCGAGTCATTCGAGCTTTGCGAGTCGACTGACGCCGACCGATGCCGCGGCGCTGGTGGTGGGCGGGTGTTAGTCGGCGACGCGGAGTAGAGGCCGCGCCGCGTCGGGGCGGATCGGGTGGACCGGGGTGACCCGCCCGGTCCAACTGGCGGTTCGCAGCCGCCTTCACCGCTAATTCTGAGGCGATTGTATAATGGTGCATTCACACTGGGCGAATATGCTCGCGCGGCAAACTCGACATCTTGCTCACTCAAGAGCAGGGTGAGCAGGATGTCGAGTTTGCCGCGCGAGCATATCCGCCCAGTGTGGACGCACCATTAGATTTAGCACACAAAACTCATTATTCAAAAAACAAAAAATATGCCAGTTGTAAAGACAGGTTTTGAAGATGTTTATAAAAAGATTTAGAAAATTGAATTTCTTCAGAAGTTAGTTGACTCAAATAATAAAAGTTCTCAAGGCTCTAGCTATTATGTTTTCACTTTTCAGCGACAGACTGCTAAGTGTAATTTGCCCTGACTTTAACTTTACAGTTAAATATCACTTTATCTAATAAAAATAATGTTAAATGACAGGACGTTGACCTAGTAATTCTACGTGAATACAGTCTGTTATAACTATAGATCTAAGATTGAGTCTAAAGAACTTTAACATTCTAATAGAAATATTTCTGAGTAAATCAATAAATATTTAGGTTACAAAAATCGCAAATGGTTAGCCGCGAATAAGAACCCCGGAAAATATGGCGGGGCTATAAAATTTAACAGCTCATATAAAGGTACATATCTATGCCCATAAAATATTTAGCACCTGCGTGAGCCGGGTACATTGAATAAGACTTACGAATTAGGTCGGTGTACTGAGGTAGGTTGTTTCATCTCCGGTAGGCAGTCTTTTATTCTCAAGTCTTCTAGTTTTGGCACTGAAAGAAAATTTTAATAGAGCGCTCCTGTAAAGCAAAGAGACTCAAAATAACGAATACATATGATTCGTACGAAATCAAGTAAGAATAAAGGTACAAGTTGGAAGCGGACGACATGAGGCAGCAGCAGACGACATGTCGCAACGACACTACTGGTTTCTGTGTATTTCTATGAAATACCATTCGTAGTAAGCGACACGTCGCCTGGAAGTATTTCATAAAAATAAGTACATAGAAAGTGACGTGTCACGGCGACACGTCGTCTGCTGCTGCTGCGTGTAGTCGGCTACGAACTTGTACCTTAAACCGTACACAAAAAAATTGAAGCAAAACGTACCTAATCTTTAAAATTGTGTTTTTATTTATTGCAAATTCCAATTTGAAACCAAATAAAAACCTGTCGCTTTTGTATCTATCTAATTTAAAACAGATGCTAGCAGTAACATGTTGTTCTTGAGACAGAAGTTAATACCGTCATGCAGCGATGCGTGAGACGCGTGGGGCGGGCGGGCGATGCGGCGGGACGGCGTCCGCGTGAACGAGGGCGGCGGACGGGGCCGGCCTCCGCGGCCGCTGTGGACAAAAACATTCTTGAACGATGTTCATGGAAAAAAGAAAAATAAATAAGCAAACCGAAAGCAAAATTTGTATGCTTATTTTTCATTTTTCTTTTTTTTTGTCTTTTGCATTTATTCGCGTTCTGTGTAAAATAAATTCTGATTCCTTGAAGTGGAATCCGCCCTTTTTGGCGCAAACTTTATCAGATGATAACAAATGAAAGTCAAAATATTCGCAGAAGGACGGTTAATAGGACGTAGGTAGGTTGTAAGGTAAATATGAAACGGTTTTTTAATAAGCTTGCTTTAATTTCATTAGTTTCTCTTCACAATTAATTTCCTACTCCAAAGGGTACAATCAAAATCATATCTGATAACCCATTAGTTCACTATTTGGTGGTAAATAGTAGTACCTACATATTTTCAGACTATTTCAGGTTCTAAAAGTAGACAGAAATGCAATAACATCTATTTTCCCACTAATCTGTGTAGATTATCAAATTATATCAAGTCATAACTTCAATGTTAGTCGATTCGTTGTGCTCGCGACTTGTTGTGTGCAGGTAGACGAGCAAACTTGCGCCCTCGCAACTTACTTGCATAATGGAAATGCGGCTTAAAGCCAGGAAGACGTCATACAAGTGCGCTCTACACGGAGCGGCATTAGGTACTTCCGAACAAACTTGCTCCGCTTCTATCGTATAAACTCTCCATTCAATAGTAACACAAAAATATTTGTGGAAAAATAACCTGAAAACTTAGTCCAAGAATTGAGAAAGTTCTAACTCATACATATAACTCCAAGCTATTATACCTATCCATGCTAGAAATTTTAAACGATTTGATACCCAAAGATACCATTATTCACCGTTTTAATCACCGCTTTAATTAAGAATGAAAATCGAATTCAATTTTGCCAATCTGCTTAAAAACCGGATATTATAGGCTTTGTGAGTTCATAGATACAATATCTTACTATGGTGTTTAGATAAGTAGGTTCAATAGCGAATCATTTTGTTACGGTATCCATAACTTACATTTAAATATTTAGTTTAATATATTAGGTTTGATGTAAGTAGACGCAAAACTTATGCTATTTTATGAAGGTTGAAGAAAGGTTTTACCTTATCAGCTTTTATATCTGAAATAAACCGATTTCCCGAGATGTGTAATAATTATGTCTTTTCACCAATATCAGACAGGGCGAAGCTACTGGAAAATGCCGGTTTTACCTCAATAAAGTCATGTAGCGGCCAACAATGAGGCGCAACACGTAACGCTCACATACGGTGACGTGGCAGATAATGCGAAACATGGCGCGCGTTCGACTTTTCACAGCTGTCATTTGACCAAACTGTGCAAAATTGTAGAGCATTATGGACAGATTTTTAACAGCGTGGTATAACTGTATGTTTGCTATATATTTAAGCCTATAAGCTCCCTGTACTAAAACATATACCTAATATAAAAATTGGGCCGACAACTGTCCCAGTTATAGCCTCTTTTTATTACTGAAATGGATAAAGAAGCCCCGAAGCACTGAAATGCCATTTTACTCAATGTCGAGTCAACGAGACGTGGCTAATTTGTCTGGAATACTAATGGATTTATATAGACGCACAGATTTCTAGCTAATAAAATAAATAAATCTTGAAACGTGTATCTCTACATTGATAAATATTTCTGCAAAACGGATAAATATAGATGTTTCAAGTTAGATTAATTAGCTTTATAGAGCTCTAAGTTTAACGAGAAAAATAATGTTTGTTTATCTTCTTTTAAATAATAGAAACAAAGCCAATTATTTCTTTAAATAGACTGTTATAACGATTTAAAAATAACGTAATGTTATGATACTAAGACAGTTCAACGTCTGATTGAGACTATTTTTATCACATAACATTTTATCTCGCCAGTTTCTATAGGGGCTAATTATAGATATATCATGATTCTAGTCCCATAGGCATACCTGTTCCTCAGCCGTGAGCCCAGCGCGAAGATGTCAGCAGAGGCCGGAGCCGTTTGCTGCAATCGGAAGAAGGCGTGGTGGTCTGAGCAGCACTTCCAGAGGTGCCGGCACGCCGATCTTGTTGGCGACTCGAAGCCGTATGTTGATGTTTCGTTCTAAAACATTTTACTTTGGTTAGAAATTAAAATAGACATAAAAGTTTCTTTCTCACTTTCAAAATACCTACAAGCATTCCACATAGAAGGTAATAGTTCCATACAACCAACAAAAATCAGTACCTAACCAAATTATCCTACGAATATAGAGTTACAGGCTTTTATGTTCCTAATTGACAACTTTTCTTCAAGCACATTATATACAGATTAGGGCAATAACATGCCTGATTAGATTTCCCTAATGAGTTTGACGTTTTGCAAATAAAGGGTTATTCAAAGCTATTATAAGCCGAAGTAATTATAAAACTAAACAAAAGCTTCTAACGAGCAGCACTGAAATCCGCTGAAAACTTTCAATGTGCATCCAATTAACGGCTCCTGCGGTTGTTTTGATATACACTGACCTACCGCCATTCACGTGTTCAATGATTTCCGATCGGCTCCCGCTTTGTTTACGGAAATAATAATAATTGGTTCCTATAGAAATGCGCGACTCGTTAAAATTAATAATAACTTTCATAATAAAATTATGTTTGTGAAAAGAAATAGGTAATGTAACTCACGCCCGTATTCACAAACCATGCTTGCTTAAGTGAAGCAGCAAATCGAACTCACACCGTTGAATAGACCTCTGTGATTGGTTCTTGTGTCACCCTGTGTGCCCACGCGTGTGTGGGACCTCATAGTAATGTTTGTGAATACGGGCGTAAATCACTATCTCAGCTTAAACTTTTGATTGATTAGTTTTAATTTACGTTAACAAGATGCAAAGGAAAATAGGCAAGTTTTCAAGAAGTTTACAATTTTGTTAGGGCAGAGATGTAGAGTTAGTTATGTACTCGTCCAGGTGAGGTAATTCTGGGCATATTAAATACAAGCACATACATGAGACAGGTATACACATTCTGGCATTCAGCGTTGTTATTCAAATATACGCTCTTAAACTTTGTATCTCCCAAATCCTTTCACAAAGTTCTGTGAATTCGAATTGTGAATAATTTTCATGACACACAACGTAATACCCATGTGTACTAACATAAATCGATACAGAACTACAACTATGACTAGATTTCAAATAGCCAGTAAATATCTAGATAATGAGATGTGTTTCACACAAAGGTATTTATTATGCAATACAAAGTTAGACACGTATGTACTACAGCTTCTTTATGAGGTGGCAACAGCTGTATTTCAGACGTAACAGAATGAGAAATTAAAAATTGCTATTAATACTATAAAAGTAATTTAATTCCACCCAATCATCACAATTGATTGTTGATCAAATTAACGTGACGTAATCTTTCTCTCCACCGTGCAGATACTTACTTACCTGGTTTCGTAACAATCACATTTATTCCTCCGGGAGCGAATGTCTAATAAATTAAGCCTCCTAATCTGGAAGAGTAGGTTATTCCACGCTATCTATACTGGATCATGCGCCATATCCATAAATAAGGTCCTACAATGAGAATACTGTAACGAATCATACCTAACCTCCTTTACTGGGTAGCCAGTTAAATAATAAATAACAAGCTAGGAAGGCGTCTCTGGGGCTCGGCTGCTATCGCGCTCGCCCACAGCTTGTAAATACTGCGCTCAGTTCTGTGCGACTTATCTGTAATTGCCTGGCTGCGAATGTCTTTCAAGGAAGCTCGCAAGGTGGACTCCATCTTGCACCACCATTCACGGTGCGCTATCAGTACGAACGATCCGAGAATCCAGGTCAAGAGTGGGACCGATTTTGATGTTTATTTATTTGCGATTCAAAATGATTCGCCGGGTGCCCTTTCATCCATATTTTGCACTCTTCAATGCGTCACGAACTTTGTGCCGTGGAAATTCGTTTGATAATTTATTTAATTAAACGGAAGATGGAGTCTGACGAGTAACAAGTCAATTTATTGTTATTTGAAAATGCAAGACTTAACAATTAAAATATTTATAATATAACTTCACAGGTAGGTAGTGTTAGATCTTCTTTTTGTGACTCTTTTCTTTGAAACATAACTTAGTTGAAAACTTTTGGTACAGGTATTAAAAAGTTGCCATTTAGGTACTCAGTGTGACTTTAACGAAATTGAGTTCACTCATTTTTTTACCATGTAGGTCACCTGATAATACATTGACATCTGCAAATTGACAAAAACACTTCTCAAAACCACTTACATTCTTATCGGCCACTCTGAGCATGAAGTAGCGGCCCTTGTAATACAGCTTGGAGACGCGTGGCCAGTAGTAGTTGGCCACTGTGTGTTTCCCGCGCAGCAGAAGTAGGCCACTCGGCGCCAGACCCAGGAAGTATTCCACGCTGTCCTCGCCCTGTAATATACACACTTTGAAAATCCGGAATACACAAAACTTCATGTAATTTAAAAACAGCTTTTGGCTGTAGAAAAGCGATTGCATTGTATGACATATAACTTCGGGTTACGAAAGCTCTTACTTGACTGACAAACGTTTAATGGGATTTTTTATCTAAGTCTAACTTTGTGTTAAGCTTAGAGCTTTGAGTGGTGACCACAAGTCGGAAGACGTGAGGGCAGGTTTCGCACTAGGTGAACCGACGATCTAGCTCGAAGTACCTCGATGCGAGCAGCCCAGAAACGGTCATTTTGGAAATCCTTAGGGGTTGGCCTTTATCCAACAGTGGACGTAATTTGGTTGAAACGAACGAACTTTGTGATTTTATACAGAAGTTAAAAAATACATAAAATAAAAAATAAAGCTAAGAAATAAAAGCTCTACAATTTTGTTTTCATTCAATTTTATTCAAATCCCTACGCAATCACTTCTTAAGATTAAATTTTACAAAGCAAGAATTAACAATTAACATGTGGAGTCAGTTACAGGAATGACTTTTTAAACAGAATTTGATTTGTTGCTACCGACTGTGTATTTAGAGGTAACTTGCGCAGATTTATGTTGGAGCTCTCAGCCACAACTTGGATTTCAAAGCGGTTTGGAGTGTCGGTTAGGGATTTTCGGGATTCTGGAAAACATATCGTTTCACGGTGAATTGTTTTACCTATTAATCACAATCTAAGAATACACGCTTCCGTACAACATCAGAAATAATTAATCAAAGAGAAGTTAAAGTAACTTAAATACAGGATATTCCTATCTAGGTCATTCAAACATTTTAAGTAATAGCACAGAATAATAATAAGTATGGTAATAGTGTGAAAGGTACCTACATTTTTAATTTACTTCAAATGGGCTATCCATTCATATGTAGGTGTTAGGACTAATAAATATTGGTTTACCACTGTTATTGTTATTTATAAAGCTGACTTTTGTATGTTTCTTATAAATTAAAGATAACTAATTTAATGTTTTGGATAACTATACAATGTACCTACATAAAGATATCATTTGAAATAATTATTCAGATAAAATAAGTCTTTTCAGTTTTGTTTCCATCTTACAAAAAATCCCCCAAAAGTCACTGAAATACCACAAAATGTTCGCTCAATTACACAACTTTTACCAAATAATAACAACGTCATTCGTGTTGCGACAAACGCTGAAGTGCTCGAACACAATCGAGGTTAGATTGAGACCATTTATTTTGTCTCCCCACACCTTTCCACCCCTATTTCTCGGTCTTGTATTCTTTCAAGTTCTTTGTATAATATAATAAGTTTGCAAAGTCTTAACCGTTACCATTCTACTGCGGAAACAGAATATTCAGATTCATATTTTTGATGTTAAAATGTTTGTGTACTTTTGTTTCAATACAAGGAATTTTAAATTCTCCATCAAAGTACAAATGGATATTAAACTGTGAAAATAAATCCGTATGCATTGATGGTGTGGGATTAACATGTGTTCCACGGGCTATTATAAATCATCCAACGCGCGGGCCGTACAAAGCCCAAAAGCGCACTAAATAAAATATTTACCAGAACGGGATGCAGATCGACGCCATACATGTCGAGCCATTTCACTTTGTCCAGGTAACTCAATTCAGCTTGCGCCGGAGATATTCCTCTGCAACAATGGATTAAGCGTTATAACGACTTTACGCCCCCAATTAAATTGTTAGCCCTGATAAACACGAGGCAAGACGCCGAAGTGACAGTGAATAATCACGGGATCCAGGCGCCGAGCTGCGGCTCACTTGGTGTTAAGTAGGTACACATAATTTGCATGTAATTGCGGCTTTGTGAGCAGCCAGCGGCCGCAGTCTGCATCTTTGCACAGTTAAAAATTCATTCAATTAAGCGAGAAAGGCGGCGAAGTTTAATTTCCGGCCGCGTAGCAAACGCCACGGCGTGAAACTGCTACATTTGAGAGCTTAATTTCTGCAACTCACTTTCTTCAGACGATGCTTGTGAGCTATGTGCAGATACTTGTTTCGAGTTTCAGCTTATGAGTGAATAAACTTACCTAGTACCTATATCTACACACGTGTCTGGCTAAGGCTTTCGTCAAAAGCGAATAAAACGGAATATTCTATTAAAGTTGTGTTAAGTACTAATATTATCGCGCATTATTTTTATGGCAAAAGATACTTAGTATGTTATCATCATTATACCTGAATCGTTATTATACACTTATTTGCAATGCATAGAGCACAAACACCGTTAAAGAGATTATATTACGCTGATACTCGTACGTGCAGTGCAGTGCAGTGAACCGCTCGGTTGGCATTAAAATCTACCTGTCGTCTGTCTGTCCACAACATTTCCCCTAGTTCGGATGTCCGACCCGCTTACAAGCGAACAAAACATGAATCTATAGCTCATGCGTCGCATGTTCTACATCGTACGGTCCGAATAGGGTCCTTTCAGACAACTGCCGTACGTAAACACGACATCCAGTATATCAAAGCACACGTGATCTGAAGGCACTACTGGAAATTTGGCCGGCTACCAAACCGGCAAGTGCCATTGTGAGCTCGTGAGTTTGCAAGTCCTTGGTTGTGTCCTCTCAATTCACATATTATCAGGGCAACTTACACCACTTGAAACTTAGCCAGGGCCAGTGAACGGTTGCTGTACCTACCTATTACTTAAAATAGACTATAATGAAGATTTGCTATCGTTAATCGTAAGATATGATGTAGTTATCGGCGAAGTTGCTTTATAGCATTAACATTATGCTAATAGTTATATTACAATGTTCAAGTATGATTGAATGTAAATAACGTGAATGAATGTGCAATTCGAGTTCGAAGAATTACTATTTTTTGCACAAACAGAATGAAACAGCGTAAATAAGTAGTATGCCATTGCATGGACGCAATTTATGACAAACACATCCTTAAGACATTATCTGAAAACACATTCAAATGTTATAGATTGGCCTATCAACAGAATAGAAGTCTTTGTGTACTCACGTGAGCGTCCTGTGTATTTCAGCTGCGCGGGACTCCAGCTCGGGCGTCTGATGCGCCAGCAGCCGGAACTCCGACACGTAGCCCGGCGCGTGCCGCCTGTGGTCGTAGTCTCCCAACTCCGCTGTATAAAAGGAAAACTTTCATTAGAATCGTCAAAAAGAATGAAAATCAATCGTTTCAAAACTGAAAGACGTAAGTACAATTTAAGTACTTATTATGATGCTTCCCTATACGTCATCACATAAAACTTAGATGCATGACTACCAAATCAATGCAAATGGTGAGCAAGTTTTTTTTTATGCATAACAAGGCATGTATTTGACCACAATCGCACCTGATGTTAAGTGGGATGCAGTCTAGGATGGTACATATCTGCCCTGTAAGTGCTTATTCACTCTCGCCTTGAAGAGGCCCGGATTATAGTTTTCGGGAAAGACAGCATCAGTTTGTAAAATTAATTTATGCTTCAACAACCTATTTTCGTATTATAGTAAAAAATATGTAACGCTTAATAAAAAGTTGCATTACTTTAGTTTATGGCACCCATAAGGGCACTCATTTAAATATTTATAGCTCAAAGTACAAAAATCAATGTCATAGGTAACATACAAAACACATTAAAAAGTAGAGAGCACTTCAACTGTAAATGATTCGTGGCAACGCAGTTAATCTTAAAAATAAAACACAACAAACGTGTCACGGTAAACTCATTTAGCTGAAGCGGCAGTTCAAACAGTAGATAGAAATAAACGAGGGAGAGTGTCCGTATTTGGAACAAATACTTGTTTAGACACATGTAGCCGACCGAGATATCTTGAACTAAATACCCGAGCTACCCTATTATGACAAAACCTCTATTTAACAATAGCAATTAATTCGGCAAAGACAGAGGGCACATGTCCTAAACAAACAACTTGCGTAAACACGGCCGATGTAACCATGTAAGGTGTCGGTTCCGAATTAAGATAACGGTAATTTGATACTCAACACCTGAAACTTCACAAAGATATTAGCATAGATGTCCGCTATGTAATTGCATTGTGAAATAGATTGCTCGTCAGCTCTATGTCTAATAAGATAAAGCATACGCAATACCTTATAATTGTTTTGTTTTTCTATTCCGTGTGACGATGATATATGTATATGTATAGATGATAGTTTTAAATATCTTGAAAACAAAAAAGAGTCGTAAGTATTCATTTATCTAGTTAGTGATAAATAAACTTATCTTTAGTTCCAATGAAACGTTTACAAACATTACTAAATGATATTTTTTACTGTCTTTTAACGAAACATGTACGTTGTAGGTATAATCTTTTCAGAAAACCAGTTCACATATCTACCAGTAGTTCAGCATTGAAAACGCAACCTACGGTCGAGTGACGATCCTGAAAAACTACTTCTCGTTCGCGGGGCTGACAGTCATTTCCCATCGTAGATCTTTTTTTTGTCCACGGAAATCGCACCATCTGGGGCCCGATTCTCACACGATAGATATTTTTATAGCGGCAGATAAATTTTATTTGCGATCCGCACCGTCTAAATATGAATAGCAAAAAAGGAAGCGAGAAGTTAATTGTACTCGTAGTTGCTTTTGATATTTTCCTTTGTTATTGCATTTTCTTTACGATTCATACATGTTATTTTAGGATACGAAATTGATTTGAGTCATTTTGAGACACTATTTTGGGATGAAATAATAATTCCTATCTTCGTAAGTGAATGATGTGAATGTAACCTTTGCTTGACCCAGATCGATAAACGCGTAAAGAAGTTCGGACCTCCCAGACGTTCCGTTCACGGTTGTCTAGAGTGACAAGAGATGTCGTAAGAAACATTAACGCCGTCGTAGCACTGATATTGTGCCGAAGAAAATATGCTGAAACTTATATTTTTATTACATCCTTCGTTTCTGTATCTTTATCAACGTCAAAAGTTATTACTTACCATCCTATTGGATGACAAAATGTGAAACATATTGATGCTATTATTTATTTAAGTATAAGTATTACCTTTAAACCGTAGGTAACTAAAACAAACAGAAGTTGACATCAAGATGTGCTTATTTCTCTCAACAATTTATAACTACAAACTTTCTACACAAAAAATAGATTTAATGATTAAAAAGTCAAAGTCGAGGGCCCTTTACACTTACGTTTACACCCTCTTTTATATTTATTAGTGTCGTTTAATCTCCGATAATAATGGCTGAGGACGCTCATAAATCTGATATTTTTAACTCCCTCCCTCACAATTTTTACGAGCTCCCAGAATTACTCTTCATTTAAGTAGTCCTTAACGTGAAAAAGCAGCGATGCTTTTCATTTCAGTTTTTTGATAAATAAGAGCCGTAATAAAACGGGTGTACGAATATCGATGTGAAGACATAATGTAATCAACTTTAAACAGGATCGGAATACGTTATTACTTATTTTCGAACATCAAAGAAATCCATCGGCTGATGGTTCCCATCAAATATGTAACCGTTTCGTGTGTTGGTACAAGTGAGAGGTAGAATCTGTTTCGCGTTAGATGTGAATGATCTGAGAGCGAGGAACATCTATCATGTGGTGGCGGGAACCGCGCTCGCGGCTGGCAGACAAATGTTGCAGGCGTCGGCCGCTACCGACACGCGAAAGCAAAACACTTTTATGGTTCACAAGCGTGTTACTAAAGTACACCACGACTTAAGTGCTGGTGGAACAAACGAACTTGATGACTGACTAAGAATTATTATGGTATGCCTTTATCATGACTTTTTAAGTGTAGTTAATTCAGCGTGTATGAACATCATTAAAATTGAACAAAGATACAATACTACTACTTAATTACTTATTAGCTTCTAAGAAGATAATAAGTGATTAAATCTGAGTAAAGAGTAGGTAAACAATAGGTATACATAATACAATATAGACTTCAGAATTTTAACCATACCTAAACAAACATATAAATTCAATAAGATTAATATGGATATTGTTATTCTAAGAATCTTGACTTCCAAGTAAAGCAATAACTAAACTTCGAGATTCGGTCTAAAAATAATCCCGATGACACATTGAGGACTACGAAGAACGTCGATATTTTTGTTTGTTTTAACGAAAAAGTTATGATTACAGAAGCGAGAAAAGTTTTTATTTTGTTATCATAGTTTACCACATACACGTAAACGAGCATTACGAACGTTATTCTATTTGAGTTTACTCGTATTCCCGCTTGATTAGATACACAGTTTTACCTTTTTTTTTGAACCGCCTTCAAAATAACGATACTTCACACAAATTCGTACAATACTCGTAGCATTAAATTATTTTTTGTACACTGTCGTAGATGTCTACATTTATTGCAGGTTTTCATACCTATTTTTATAGATATTTATGTTTATAACCAAACAAAATTACACAATAAGCACCAAACAAAGTTAAAATTTTAACAGGTAATTAAATGTAATGTAAACATGAAAACGATAATTATTTCGGGCCCTCGAGGATATTATCTAAAACAGCCTCATTATGGACTTGCTTATTAGTTTCAGCTCATTATATTATCCGCAATCTCCTAAGCTCTCGGGGCAATTTCAATTCAGAAGCCTTAGCTAAATGCCATAAAATTTAACGTTAGAAGAATTAGATTGTACTCAGAAAGTATTTTTGAACTGATTATCATGGTAACTAAACCCTAAATTTTCGACTGTACCTTGGTCCTTGACAAACACTTCAAAATTGATTACTCTAATTTAGTCGATAATCAAATTCTACCATTGTTATGATGCTAGTTAATAAGGCTGCAGCTACCTACCCTAAACATAGTAAAATGCCATGTAGTTTTAATTAATACCAAAATAGTTTCACTCGCTACGTTTTTTTCTCGTAGTTATTCGTAGCTACATAAAACTATCACGAATTACTTTGCCTATTCAGGTAGAACCGTAGAATTAAATACAAAATGGGGTGCTTTGATTGTATTCTAAGCCGATCTTTGTATGAAATTCGCATACCTACATCTAGAGTGCGTAACGCTATTAACTAAGCAAACGAGCGGCGGCCCCGTGTCCCCGGGGACAGCTGCGGGATGTCCTGACTTTTGAAGATTGGATTACGGACAACGGGATTATTTTCCACTTTTTAATTAAGTGTGATTATTATTGTTTGTATTTGAATATAATTATGTGTCTGGATGAATTGTGTATTCTTCTGAATAATGAAAATAATATGCAGACCAACCTTATTTTCTTATTTTTTTACAGTAGGTAATTAGATGACCTGTGTCTACATACAGCATACGAAAAATAAATATTAGAATTGAAATAAGCATAATAAATAAGTAAGTAGCTCTTTGTTATATTTTGATTTAAACAATTTTGTTGTCAGCTCCTTTCAGTACGCTAATCCATTGTTGTGCATGCGGTAACTTTTTAATTTAAGCAGTAACTAAAAGTTGACTTAATAAGCACCATTTTCTTTTGTTTGGTTTAGGAACTAAACCACTCTTGAACAAAACACGCTTATTGATGTACCGCACATCCCTAGGTCGTGGGTCGCTGATGCGAGCGAGATTAGATGCAAACGACGCTCGCCGCTGATGGCTCATTTACCTCCTGAATAACGCATCGATATCAACCTCGCGGCCCGCCCTCCTGCCCTCCCTTACTTTTTTTATTACAACCCTATTTTGCAGCTTACAGAATTCAAACTCCCCACGTCAGTTATTGATTGGACGCTAGCATAATAAATGACCTTCATAGAAGCATGCAATACCATGAGAACTATACTCGCTTTAAACAACGTTAATTTTATTGAGTCATACATATGGATGTAGATGACTGAAATAAAAATAATTAATTTTAAGTTTCAAAGAGAGTAGGTAGGTACGGCGAACTTAATTAACATTCTTACTCGTAAATTAAAAATTCATACTAAAAATCAAAGAGCTGAATTTTTCGTTCGTCTTTTTAAACAGTCCGATATCTACGTTACAGATGTCAGGCAAAATTTCAATAATTTAGTTTGCAGAAATTCAAAAGCGAAATGCGCGATAATTTGGCTGCATTTGCGGTGAGATGGCGTCGCGCTATCTCGCCGCCCCGAGAAGAATGGCTCTAACTATTGCTACCGAGCTGAATTGAACGCGACTGAAGTACTCGCCTGGCTATTTACTAAGCCAATTGAGTAAATTAGAAAATACGAGATCTTCTAGCAGTTCAATATTGGTTTTATTACGTTCTAGTACGATTGTACGGATAGCTCTAGGTCAATAAGATAGGCGGGCACAGAATAACGGTGTGGTGCATCTTATCTTTGGATTTGTGGATATCCCGATATTTATGTATACAGGGTGTTAGGTAAATGGGTATATGAGCCGACACAAGCCCATGTTAACATGGTCATATAAATGGTATGGTGAAGTCAGAAAATTGATATCTTCATTTTAATTATTTTATTTTTCATACAAATCGGATTTTATAAAATTAATTTTGTATGAAAATTAAAAAAAATTAAAATGATGATATCAAATTTCTGACTTCACCATACCATTTATATGACTATGTTAACATGGGCTAGTGTCGGCCCATATACCCATTTACCTGACACCCTGTATATTAGAAACAATACAAAAATTACACAAAACTTTTACTCGAACACAAATGAGAATGTCTATACCTAATTATGATAAAGTGGCGCGACAATAAATTTGTGCTTTATTTTTTTATTTAATATCAATCAAACTAACAATTGAAATTCACCACGAATGCGCTAGATTCACGTTTTCCACTTTTTGTTAAAAATTGAATAGAATAAATTGATTTTTACATGCAACGCGAACAGTTGACAACATTTTGCAGATATTTCCTTTGTGTCATGCACTGAAGTACGTGTTGTGTGAAGCAAATGCCATGTTATTAGATTAGTGCATGCTACATTTGAATACGTTCATGCAGATAGCAACTGGTTCATAGTTGCGACCGTGATTTTCTGACTTCCACCAGCGATTTTATCTTTTAATTTTTGACTCAAAGTGTCTACCTAGATAAAAAGCGTTGCATAAACCGCATGTTAAAGTTGTATGTACGTACCTGAGTATTTTTTTTTCATATAGGTGGACCTAATATTTACCTACTTCATGCAGCGCTACATCATCTTATATTTTTGTAACTATATATTAGAAAAATACTTAGCTTACGACGAAATAATCACGGGTCTTACCGGAGCATCACACACGCGATGTTTATTTTTTGTCCCCTCAATCCATCAAGGTGATTCTCAAAATTACTTACGTACGGCGTTTGATAAATAGGTATATTATGCTAGCGTCATTACGCGTGAGAAATGTTCCTATAAAAATCCGGCAGTCGATTTTGGGCATATTCTGGCGCATTCAGTTCGTTTATCACGGGGTTGACCGTAAAGGCGTATGGGGTACGTTCTCGTTTACAATCAGGTTAATAAAATAGCTTGGCTATTACGTGAAAATGGTGTAAAGGTTGCGGGCGCCAAGTGGGAAGCGCCGGGTGAGTGGCCGCGCGTCCACTTTGTACCCTGGGCACGGATGGCGGTTGCGGATTTCGCCGCTATTATAGCAAAGAACAACTTTAATCCGTGTCCTTATTTACCAAAATACTAGGTACTGGAATATTTAGGTTTGGCTTTACTGCTGGGTATGGCCAAAGGCCATAAGTTTCATTGTTTAAACGACAGTTTTGCTGCTGGTTATTTGAACAGATTTTGTACTGCTCGGTCCAAAAATGTTGGCTCTTTTATTCCAAGGACTAGTTACTTATTATTACTCATACCATCTTATTAACGTATGGAAGGCTCAGTTCACAATTAACCTTCGTTCAAATTAGTATTCCGTGGAAGAATCCCGCTCAAAGAATATTAACATTTCACAAAGAAAATGTGAATCAATTAATCCCGTAATAACTTTCTGACGGCTTATATTGATTGAACCGGCAAAAAGTTCAAGAACTAATTTATTTTCCCTTTACTCCGGGGAAAGATGGACCAATACAACAAACAATATTTACTTCATAGAATAGATTTGAGAATTCCTTTTATTGTTTTATGGGAGAACTGGTGAATATTAGATTTGTTACAATCAAGAGCTTTCTGGAAAATATTTTTTCGTAGTTACCTAAATATTATTTTATTAGGTACCTACCATTTGACCATTCAATTCAATTGGTAATATTGACATTTACCAAACAGAAGTACCTAGTCGCACCTTTTTTGTATGTTTTCACTATCCATTATTTTTATCAGGCGCCATCATAGGTCACCAAGCAGCATGTTAACTCTTTAGCAGCCTACACTGATAAAATCAAATCGTGTAGGAAACCACAGGTGACGAATACTGCCAATGTCCTATTGTTGTCTGTTTAATTATGTTTTGGGTGAGTTGCACCACCTAACTTAAACAGTTTAATTATAACGCTACGGTGCTTTTTATGGAGTTTGACAGATTTTTAACGTTTTTTAAAGTTTTTTTAAATTAAGATGGTGGTAATAAAATACCCTCAGAAATAAAAAAATGTAAGCTCATTTAGTGGATTTAAAATTAAACTTGCTCAACATATTTTAGAAAGTACCTAAGCAGTTGGTTATTAAAACATTAAAATAAAATAATACGAATGCACTAAATGAGTACATAAACTAGGCGTAACAATAAAATAAGCGTTTTGAACTATCTATTTGAATACTCATGTAAATGATGTTCTCATGTAAGTGACTATTTGTCTTTTTTGAGAACAAATTTCTTTAACCATAACCCAGCCAGCAGTTTATTAGTACTCACACTGTAGAACAAAGGCGGCGAGCTCGGCGGCCAGGTCGAAGCCCACGGGCAAACGCCCGCGCAGCACATCTTGTTTCAGCTGCAGGAACAACTGGTACCTGGACAGAAGTTACACACATTTAATTTTCAAAATAAACTATGTCAGAATCGTTATTAATAATTTTGATACACATGTATCAAATTGGCTTAAAAGCTAACCTAATTAGTATTTTCGAACATTGTATTTTATGTAATGACTCAATACCAAACACGCTGTATCTATCTACTACGAGTATTATAATGCATTTTATAAGCATTTTAGAAAAATAGCATTTGAAATCACGATTGAAGCGAACTGCCTTAAAAATACACAAATTAGTTCATGTCAGACAGACGTGGTACTCTATATTTGAAATTAATTGGTAGGTAGGTAATAAAGCAATCAGACAATATTCAATGATGGAAATTCAGCTCTAAAGCAATAAGGAAGTACACATAATGGTTAGATACGTGTATAACGTGTAACATTCTTAAGATCAACCAATTGGCAGCAAAGTTAGTATTCTAAATTATAAAAACATGTTCATCAAAACTTTATTTTCAACGACAACGTCAAGATTTTGCTTCAAATTAAATGCATGTTGCAAAGTACAGGGACGAGTCGTGCTACAATTAAATTGACTCGCGTCACTTGCGTGTACGCGGAAGACGACGAGCGGGAACTGAATAAAATATGTTTCAAACGATGTTTAAAGAGACAAGGACAATGGCAAGTCGTCTAGACCCATCTTTGGAACTCAAAGAGTTTCTATGAAAAGGCATTCCTTTAGTGCAATAAGGAATTCCATGAAAAATAGAGCTCGTTTATTTAACTCATTTTTCTCTAACCTTCGAATACTCTTAGTACAAGCATTGTAGGGGAAGACCCTTAAAAGGAAATTAAATATTAAAAAACCATCAGAGCAAAGGTTTCAAAGAATTTACGAGTATTAAACGGTAGCTCTCAGCAAAGGCAGACGTACGGACGCGAGGGCGCAGCGCGGCCCGCGTCAACACCGTAATAACAAAATTTTAATAAAACATCTCGGCATTTCCTCCCCTGTCTTTCCTTAAGATAATAAGATAAAGAATAATGAAAACTTTTTAAACATTCAGTCAGTTTAGTACTGACTTCGATGGTGGATTGTGGCTATTGTTGTGAGTTTTAACACAAGTTTGATGTAAAAGTTTCAAACGAAAAATAAAGTGAAATTAACGGGCTCGTGGCTCCGTGAATTGTAAATGACAAAATGAATAAGCCTATTTTGCAAAGTGTATCCAATTAAAACGGTGTACAAAATGAAATTTCCTGGGGAGATTTTTATTCAGGCATTGACAGGTCGTCGCTGCATGGCGCTGGCCCCATTCATTTCACCAGAGGTACCTGGCTCGGTTTACGAGCTCACGGTTTACTGCGAGAGCACTAGACCTTCTTTTGTTCTCACACAGCTTAACTTCTTTTTATGGTCATGGAAATTTAACAGTTTGTAATAAAGCTGAAAGAAATTGCTGAATGTAAAGCTAGAGTCGACATTCTGAATGTACCCTTTATGATAGAACGTATTGCAATCTACCTCTATTATTAATCATGTTACATAATAAAGGGATCTTAATAAGGTTTTTTTTTCAATATTTCTTCATTAGCTTAAACGAATCGACGATGTTTGTATTGTTTTACACTAAGTCAGTAAAGTAGCATTATTAAACAATGCTGTAACTGCACGGTGGTTGCTTTGTTTATAAATGCCCTTTAGCACGGAAAGCTTGGTGTATTCAAATGTGTCAAACGTACGCACGCACACAAGCCCGCGGTACCCAGTACTCGTAATGACGCAACTGTTTATTATTGTTCTGCGGAGTGATCGCGACGCCGGTGTCGGTTCTCATGACATAACACTCCTGCAAGCCTCTCTCCAAGCGCTCAAGCGCTTTTCATGTGTGAACATCTATTTGCCAGCTGTATCCCGACTCTTGTTGGAATGTAAAGAATTTCAAGAGCGCTTTGGTAACATGAAATAACACGAACACATTGAACATTACCGTCACACTTTATAGATACGATCTGATAACAGAAAACTCGAAAATGCGCTTGGGAAGCGTATATCGAAATCATTATTGCCGTACTATGTCACCGAAGAATACTTGGAACCAGATGGCAGATACTGTTGTGGATAATAAACGGCGCAATATTCCATGTTATGTCTCCTAGCAGTCTCAATTCAATAAAATATATAAAGAAGATACACTGAGCGAAATGTTCCAAAGTTTGAGATAATAAAGCGCTCACTTAGCATACACGGGCAACATTGATGTAAATTCACGCGTCTCCTTCTCAGACAATATCAGATGTGTCAGAAAAAGTCTTGAAATATTCGAGTTGAGATCGAATAAGTGTCAAACGTAAGGGGAAGGAATTGAAATCGACAGGGTAGCGGAGTGCTGAGTAGAGCTTTAGCACAGATGTGTTTTATCGCCACCTATACAGCCCCCGGGGAGATATTAATGTATCCCACGATTGATGTTACAGACGCATTAGATGCGTTAACAGCACTCACATATTACCGCAACACGTAACACCTTGCTTTGATGTAAACCACATCCATAAAACAGCTGCAAATTATTTTAAATCATAAAATCCCATTATTAATTTCACCTCCACGTGCAGTTCGTGGTTATAAATTTAAAATATGTTTTCATTTAAGCCCGTGTTTAAGTATCATGGTTAATTAAACGATATCGATAACCTTGATTAAATAAATACATACTTATTAATGTTTTAATTAATTAAATGAAACTTTGTTTTTAAGTAATTTTAAGTTTATATATAATAAAATTATTGTTTATTGAATAAAAACTTACAGATTAAATGAAATTGGAAAATATGTTAATACTACAATTTATCAAAACGTCTCCAAAAACGTAGTCTACGAACTCAAGCCACTGATGGCTTCGTAATGATTGCGGTTTTAAACGTGGTTTAGGTACCTACCTACTTACTCTTTATTTATAAAAACATAGCAAGAATAGCGACGAAAATAAGTATACCAAATACCTAATTAGGTAAGTGCCCCTGTATCAAAGGAAATTTGTGATCTGCTTCTTTGGATAAGAAATGTTTATGTGTGTTTGTGAAGGTAGCATTACATTTTCATAATTAATGGCGGCCGCGATGTACAAAGAGAAAGCAATAAATTGGTTCAGTAAAACACTAATGCATATCAAATGATATGTAATGGAATATTTAAGTAAATACTCGTATATGACGTTGCTTATACCTTTTTTTCGTCAAGCTCTCAAATAATATCTGATTAAGGGTTTAGTACATACTTTAATTTACTTGTCTATTGGTTTGTTAGATATGGTCGCTTTGGGGTCACTGCCTCTTTGAAAGTTGAGAATTATTTAAATCACATTATAAATGTGCATAGTTTACCTTGTGATTTCTTCCAGCAGCTTGCAAGGATCCGCAGCATAGAACTTGACACCGAAGTAAAAGGTGTGAGGGTCCGATCCTCTGAGCTGCCGCCGTAATCGCTTCCCAGCATCTAGCCAATGCTGCGGAAAAAACAATTTATTTAGAAGAATTTCTATTTGGAGCTCTTACTTTAGTGGTCAAATAGATTTCACTCTAAATACGTATTTCTGAGAAAGTGATTCTTAAAAGTGAGATAAAAAGTAGGATCTTTAAATAGATGACATTTTGGTAGAGAATGTCAAATGTTACGGTGCTATTCTTGAACACTAAGGCTGAGTTGCACCATCTTACTTTAACTTTGACAAACATCAAAAATCTGTCAAACTCCATACAAAAAACACCGGTTATCGTCATTGTTACGTTCAAAGTTAGGTGGTGCAACTCAGCCATAGTTTTAAGGGTTACTTTTACAGCAAATTAAAAATGCAGTTTAAAGTAATAAGTAAAACTCAATTATAATCTAGTTTACTACTTTTGTACTTACAGTCTGATTATCCTGGTCGACGTAACGTAATCCAAAGTAGGCCGTTTCCAGAAGGTCGAGATGTTTGAAAACCACGTCCAGAAGCGCTTGTCCAGTGCTGTTGTCCTACAAAATAAAATGACAAATATAATCATACAAGACCAATTTATCAAATCTAGTAGGCGAATAGGCCCATCTTGATAATCATAGTGAATTGAAGCTCAACTACTCAATTGAGTGAATTGGGGATCTAGCAATTGTAACAATATGGCATAATGCATCCATTCGCAAGAAAGGGGGCCGTTTTGAAAATCGATTCACTACACTAATCAATACTAACATAGATAATAATAATAANATAATATATTCCACGCTTGAAAGCATTCGTAAATTAATAAATGATAATGAGAAAAAGTTTTAAATAAATTATTTATACTTTCAAATTAAATAAAAAAGTTAGAAAGCAACAAAATTCGGATCGATCTCACGCGGTCGCCAATTAGCATTTCTGAATAACCGACTTTCCTCGATTAGACGGATTCGCACGCATGCGGACTGGTAAGACCAGTAGTCGGCACTGATGCGCAGTGGCACCATAATGAGAGGCTGCGCTGCACGAAGGGCTTGCGTGCGCCTCCGCTGCGTGTGAGGCGATAAATGCTCTCTAGAAATTTAACCGCTGAGAACACAAGCAGTTAATTTGGCGAGTGATTGACTGTTAAGTATTTTAAATGTCTACATTCTGATACATTAACCTCTGATACATTGTAGAGATAGCGTAAACCTTTTATTAAAATTCCAATCTCAGGTTAATACAATACTTCAGTTTTATTTAGTTTTGCCTTCGCATGTGATAAAAAATTACGCGATGGTCGCCTGTTGCCAACAGTTGCGTGTTTGATCCCCACTCAATATTCGTGTCTATAAATATCTATTTCTAGGTAAAGTATTTATTCCTCCATGTATAAAAGGTTCCTATTTATGAGACTAAATGGCGCAATGTAAAATGTCCAAGGACTTATTTTTTGTTTATTTATTTAAATGAATGCCTTTTAGTAACATTAAAAGCTAGCCCTGATTTAAATAAAAATACATAATAATGTTCACGAGAATGAGCAAGAATAAAGTACGGCAATGGATGCGTAATTAACAAAATCGTGAGACTAGCATATCACCAAATAAGCTTTCGCCTTTAAGAGCTACCTTCGGCTTGTGGGAAAATTACGAAACAGTTCGCTGGGTTGAATAATAAATGATTTAATAACAGAGCCTGTTTGCTCCCAGCGTACGTTCAGCTCGAAAAATAACAAACGATTTGAAAATCTGGCAGAGTTGATGTAGGGACGCGACTGACGCGCCCGCGGGCCGCCAGGGCTGTGCTGTTTGTTTACCCTCAACATATTACAATTTATTGCCTACAAAGCTTGTAAATCAATCTTCCAGAGCCATATATTATTGTTTTTGCGATAGGATCAGCAAAAATAAATTGTGGTGACATCCTGCCCTATGTGTTTGGGTTTAATTGGGCGGGTGTAGAATTAAACGTACGAATTTTCGTTTGTTTCGACCTAATCTCGTCCACTGCTCGGCATACAAATACGGATAATTTATTGTCCTTTTCTAGAAAACGTTTTTAAAATCCCTACTAGGGAAGTTTTCGCTCTACGTTTCACATTATAATGAGTTATTCGTTAGTTAGACCATCGTCAGACCTTGTATTGACGACAACACAACAAGCTAAGCACTGCCGTATATTAGGTGGATGTAATGCATAGGTACCTACCTAAGACAAATGACTTTAATTATATCTTAATGCAAAATACACTACACAATAGTGTTGTTGACTCTACAATCAATTAATATAGACAAACTAAATTAATCGGGTATGAATATTGATTCAATACCTGTCAACTAAAAAAAGCACTTTATACGATGCCAATTATATTACGTATATTTGCTGCAGCTACAAAGGAGGCAGCACTCGGACGAGGACAATGAAGACGCCATCAATAAAGCAGAACGAGCAGGAGGTGCACTGCGCAGCAGACCGTGAAATGCTGTCGAGTCAATTTGCCGCCGCGACAACACAATGACCTCCTGCCGCCGACACTAGGCTCGTTCCATAAATTGCTGTGCAATTCCTTGCCTTCCCCCATTCTCCATTTGAACCAAATAAAGTAGAGTCGAGGCGCCTCACAATTCAGGTGAAACAAAACCCTTTGTAACTTTCAACACCTCGATTGCAATCCTGGATATTTCATCTCTATTGTTCAGTCACTTTCCCAAATAGTATAAGGACTCATTTAAAAACAAAGACAATATGCGTGATTTTCCATTCCTGTGTCCCGTTGTATGAGTTCGTTTGAATTCAAATACCAAGGCCAATGCCTGCCAACAGATCATTGATCGGACTGATCTATAATTTTCTGTAATAAACGTAATGGGAGCACAAATTCACCGATTACGGTGTTCGCCGTTTCTGAAAACTGTTTTTTATCCTGTTTGGAATAAAATCCTTTGAACATTATGTCGCTTAAATTCATATAAAATATTTTCCAGTTAAATATTCTATTTAAATAAAGCCTTTTGCAGCCTGTGAAATAGGAAATGTATGTAAAAATATCGTACATTAAAAAGTTTACTGTAAAGTCCTACATCAGGAGCAACTACTGGCCTAATTCATTCGTTTATCACAATTTTATTTACCTACTTGAACAAGTAACATAAAAAGTTGAAAAGGAATAAAAATAATTCCATTCCGTCTCCTTTACAATAAATCTTGGTATTTCTGCAATGTGAATAGAGAAAAGTTAGCAGTTGATCCATATAAGACAAATATACGTTTGTGATACGAAAAGTGTAAGGGGAGGATAGCGATTTATCTTATATACAACTTAGCTAGAAACGTCGAAGTCTCATCGCTTCCACTTTAACCAAATTGGATGATTCTAGCTCCATATATCTTGGGAATTTGTTTGACGAACAAGTCGCGGGTCTTCGCGGAGGCCCAAACAAAAGCATTTCAGGGATAAATTCCTCCGTTGTTTACGGTTATGACAGAGACTTATGCAAGTATTATCTGAATAACTGCGGAATTCGTTCGAAGCCGGCAGTCTTATGTGTTTTCAAGTTTGCGAGAGTTTCCAAGATAATAGAGATTGCGTGTGAGGTCGGCGACGGAGGACCATTATACGGCCGGGAGTGAGGCTGTAACTAAATCTTACTGCGATGGTTCTTTGAATAACTTTTTTCACTCTGCGTTTTCGGAGCAAATGTTTTGTGTTTCGTGTTTACCAAACAACTTTTGCAATGAAAGTCTGACTTTTATTACTAATTTACAAGATATGTCTTACGACATCAAAAGTTACAAGCACCATTACGAAAGCTTTAAAAAGTAACTGTGATGAGTCTGTTAAGAAAGAAAGAGCACACAACGTAAATATCATGTCAAGTGCCTAATAATATATTTTTATGATCATGTAAGTACTTATTAGGATTTAAAAAAAAATAGAATAATAAATCAATGAATGATTCATCAATTTCCAGTTTATAAGCTTTAAGCATTATGTACACATTATAATAACTGTATGTGAAGAGCAAGGACACGTGAGGGCAGAATCGGTCGCGGGCCGCGACGCGACTCGTGAGCCACTCTCACATTCACCGCGCGGCGACAATGCCAGCCAAATAGAATTTAATATTCATAGAGACGACGTACGATTCAGTGAATTCATCCGCACCTTGGACCCGAGCCTCGCATATAAAAGACCTTCCTTGAGCCCCCGGGTGTACTTCAAATAATTCGTTTCAGAATAGCAACACTTCATATGTGAAGGACGGGAGGCGCAGAAAAACCCCGTTGTTTCGTAGATATACGCGAAAATTGAAAACTGCTATCGCCGTCCGCCGGGACGGCCGCACGCCGCCACGGCACAGGTCGATTTTAGAAATAATCCCCTCGCAATCTCGGCCACAGGAAAAGTGTGGAAAAACCTGTTTTAGGATTCCCTCGTAAACAAATTACGAAGTAATAACAACGTCCTGCATTTATTATACCAGAATAAAAGTAGTACCTTTGACTCGAATTTCCCTTTTGTTTTCACGTACACAGTGTTTCTTTTGTTTAATATGAAAATATGACACGCATATAATTTACGATCCTAAAAATGGTAATTCTTCAGCTCACATGTAGTAGGTAACACTTCTAATAGTATACTGTCATCGTCATCATAATACTCTCACTTTAATAAAATTCAATGTTACGAGACTTGTATGAAAATAAAAAAATATTTTAACTACAAAATTGGCAAACGTTCCGAATTTTCTGTCAAGGAAAACAACGTTTCACTATTATATTGTGAATTGAAACGCGCAAAAATTTTCCCGCTCTTTTGCACGTCACGCGTCACCACAGATAACATCTCACCTGTATCTCGTGCAGGAGTTCCCGTTCGTCGAGCAGCACGACCCGGCAGGCCAGCGTGCGCGGCGCCGGGCACAGGCACTCCATCATCCTGGCCCGCCCCACCACCGACGCCGACCTCTGTAACAAAGAGATTTGAAATTAGAATGTTGTTTTTTTTTTCAAATTTAAACTTTTTGGTTAAATTTATTTTTATAAATAGTTTGTAGTCAAGAGTTTTGTTGATAAATGTGCGTATTGTTATGAATTATTATGCAAGTTTATTAATGCATAATATTATTTTTATTAGACGTTCACAACATTTATTTTATCCAATAAGAAAACATTACACACACGTCTATAAAATCAAATGAGAAATCTCATCAACGAAATCACTTGGAAGCAATTATTTTTAGTGAAAGAAGTTAAAACATTTGAAAATTACAAATATTAACAAAATACTTATAATTCATAAATGAATGTAACTTCCAACTCGCAGACAGAGTCAATGTCATGAAAATTTAAAACTTGACCAATCCGAGCTCCGAAATACAGAGCTCAATCTCTCACATTTCCAAAGCTCCTAATTTTCCTGGATACCTAGCTGTATGCTGTATACGTATGTTACCTTTGACTCTCTACAAAGCCTGAAGTTGTTTGAAGTCAATTACTGAGTTATTTGCAGTCAGACTCAATAGTAAAATCACCAAAGGGTTGGTCGAAACCAAATATATCCTCGTTAAAAGTTAGTCCGGGGAGATTCAGTGAGCGAGCATTGAGGGTCGGTTTTAACAATTTTATTTTAATTAGTAGCAGCGCCCCTTTTAATAGGCGGATTTGATTCTGCTACAGCCTTTTTTGCGTCAAATACATTTCGTGTGTTTTGATGAGTGCAGAGGGCGCTGGTCGCTGTGCGCGATTGCGGATTTGCTGGACCAAACTTTAACAACTGTTTTTTATTTTAGCAGGCGCGCGTATTGTAGTTTTTAGTCGGGAAAAATGTATATTTACTTCAGTTTATAGTTTAAACACGTTACTTCTCTAATGTAACTAATTTAGATATTGCTAATCTAGAAAAGTGAACTAACACTATTCTACAATCGCGGTTACAAATTCTGTTAGGTTAATCTAGTAATTACTTACTTGGCAAAGTTTCTACTGTTTTCTGGAATACAATTCAATTTCGTTTTAATTCCAGCGAATGTTTGTTTCTGTGAGAATTTCATTACGTTTCACGTAGCACTTCAAGTTCTGGGTAACTTATATGGCTTTCAATCAAGTAACTTTTCATAAATTTAGCAACAGAAAAGTTTGTGTGCAAACAGAAAAAGGCTTGCCGCGTTTTCCTTAATTGCAAAACCCTTTATTACTTCGAGGGAGGTTTGGCTTTGCTAAAATTAGCATTAAAGAAACATTAAACGAAAACGAAAACATTAGGAGATTGAAAATAGAATTGTTTTTGTTTTATTAATAAAACAGGCTTACTTAATTGTCCGAGGCTAGATTTATTTAACTTTTGCTTGTAGTAGCTCAGTTTACAAAGCTGCGGGCGTAAAGTATCAAACGTGTAGCTACGCTCGGCTCAAAGCGCTCGTAGTTGTCGCTACGAACATTAGTTAAAGCGAGATTTCACATGCCGAGCTTTAATTTCGAAGCTGAAAACTGTAATATTTTTAGACTTTCTGCAAGTGGTTGAGAACTTTTTATTTTGAAACTCCAGTTCTTACGGTTTCTACATGAAAGATTTCTGTTAAATAAATGTAAGCCGTAAAACAAAATTATTATGTATTTGTGTAATAAAATGTTGACAAAAACAAAGTAGAGTAGTAAAGTAGTCTGTGAGTTCAAATCAATATTTTATTATTTGACATTATCTTTTGTCGAAGTTATATTCAGGAGAAAATTCCACTAGGTATTCCACGACCATACTTCAAATTGAAAATTAGGTCGTAGACTAAAGTGACTGTTTTTGTAAACCACATGAAGCAAATACTTAAAAACGCTGTTTGAGTTTTGTTTTAACATTACCGTACTTTTCATCCCGTATAGGTACGATTATTTTTCTAAAACGTAAGAACAAATAGGTATGTAGTAGAATAACTAGGCAACACTTTCACCGTCATGCTCATTTGTCATGATATCACACAATATTTTGCGTTCCTCAACCCGGCCCACAAATAGCGCCACAATAAGTATCAAAGTTACTAACTACGGAGTCGCGACGCTACGACCTCGTATGTCTTGTTGTTATTGTTACGAACTTTAGCAGCGAAATGAACTCATACTTATCCTACAGGACGACGAAAGCTGTACGAAATGTTTGGCCTATTTTCCAGTCAATTACCAGTAATGTAACATACCTAAATAAAAAGAAACATTGAAAACAACCCAATCAGTGTTAAATTACGTTAAGAGAGACTTTTTTATTTCATTACAAAACCGATTTCCCGGGGGATGTATCAATTTGTTACTCAATTACACCGCGACGCTGATAAAAAGTTTCATTTCAAGAGCTAGTTCATTTTCATGCCGCGCAGCTGGGCTGGGTTTCATACACGTCATGCATATAACACAATAAAAATAAAACTTGTTTAACGCGACAGCTAACGAAATATGGACGATAATATTTTCTAAAAATTATACAACTTTACACTTTTTAACCGAGGTTGTTAATAATAACTTAAGTTAGAAATAACTTAGATTTATTATTTTAATATTTTATAAAAATTACTTATACTTATTACTTTTGTAGAGCAAAGTTTTAAGTACAAAACTCGGTCATCATAGGCACACAAAACAAGAACAAAAGTAAACAAAACAAGTAGCCGTTAGTTTGGGCTCAGAAAACGTCCACCTGGAAAAACAAAACGCAAAGTAAAACAATAACATCACGCGGAAACAAAAGAAAACGCATCGCAACACCACAAATGTAGCGCATCAAGAACCTTGTAACAAGTAGACAAACTAAGAACTTTAAGGAAACAAACAACAGACACGGCAGTACGAACCATTAATCCGAACGATCCCGGCAGAGATTAGTGCTCCCGCTATTGACCCCACACCCCGCTCCGACCCCGTCCCCACACGTAGAAAACATTTTCCCGTCATTGTCTGAGCAGGAAGCAAAAAGAGGAGTCGCGATTGACATCGTGGCTCTGCGACGAGCGGCGCTCCGTGGCGGTCGCCCTCGAATCTCACTCGTTGCGATTTTTCCCTTTGTTTGTTCGAGAGGATGCACGCGAGATAGCTATCTACAATTAGATACAGCATAGCGCCCACGCTCCCGCCTCGTACCCACGATAACATCGTTTCACAGTAATCACTCATATTCTCACGTGTGTCACTTCCTATATGCATCGAGTAACGAACCGGGAAAGTAACAAATGAAGTTCGCCTGTTTTTCTCCGGTTCTACAAGTCAGTTTCAAACGGAATACGCGTTACGTGCGTAACCAACTATTTCTAATATCAGAATGCAGCACTTGCAAACATATGCTATTAATTTATTTCCGAAGTCATACGTGAAAGATTATCAGAGCATAAAATAAAGATGTTTAACTAGTTTTTTTTTTTTTTTTTTTATCCACAACGAGGAAGCTCTTGGCCTGTATCTCACCTGATGGTAAGTGATGATCAGTACCTCTAGTAGGAAAAACTTTCGAGTTCGTTTCGTTGCGTATTCAAAGTGTCATCGAAAAATTTTGTATGAAAAATTAAACAGCGCCCCCTATATTATAGGCGCCCTAGGGGGCGCTGTTTAATTTTTCATACAAAATTTTTCGATGACACTTTGAATACGCAACGAAACGAACTCGAAAGTTTTTCGTACTAGAGGTACAGGCCGAAGGTGGAAGCGAGCAATAGTTTTAACAATTAGTCGCCTGCGGCCATAATAACTACCTCGCTGAAACATGTCGGCTAACTAATGGACGCGACGTTTAGAGATTAAAATCATAATCATAATCGAGCTTGTCGAGTATATTACAGGAAAAAGTAAAACGTTAAGTTTATAGCTGGAAGTCGGAATTAATTTGAAGCTAAATAGAGTTAATTTCGATGTGCATTTATAAATGATCATAAGTAGATAATTATTACTTATTACCAGCGTTTACATACCCGTTGAGAAATTATGATGAAAGCTTCATATAAATGTTTTTGTACTTTGACAAGTCACGAAATAAAATATCTGTACTTAGTAAGTAATTATTTTTTCATGTGGACTGTAAAAGTTTTTCGTTTCGATAAGCACATTCGTATCTGTAGCCATGCCATAAATTGGAATCAACAGCTCGTCTAAAAATAACATTCTTTGGAAATGTTATCATTGCACCGTAGGCAGTTGTTTCGTGGAAAAGCTGACTTGTCAGACATTACCGTGCTGGCGGTGGGACTGGGGCTACCAGTTGTTTTACAATGCTCTCAATTTGAATCTTGATGGTGACTGACAAACTTTTACCACCTGTATTTTAAGATTATGGTCAATTTAACTGTCTAAAGTAAAAAAATATTAAAAGTAGAGTCGATTCAAAAGATTTAAAAAAACTTTACCTGCCTATATTCAGGAATGATTTTGATTGATTAAGTTTAAAGGAGTTACAAATTCTTTAGATAATTAGCAAACGTTAAGGTTTTGGAGTAACTTATGTATGTTACTCTATCACTTCTATCCCAAATTTTATTGCTTAACATAAATCTATAGACCTAATTTTTCCTTATAGATATAGTCTCAGGCTTAGGCTAGTAGTATATTAAGATTAAGTTACTCATACGCGGTGTAGATGCGAGCGGACGCGCGCGCATGCCGTCACGCGCCGCCGGCGCATACTAATGGCGGAGCGCGACTCGTGACGCTCGCGCGCCTCACTATTTCTCCTGTATAAATAAACCTCAATTGTCCCCAACTATTCATGGAATTAGAAAACTATGTTAATAATGTTTATTGCCCGTGCGTGTCTAGATCCATGCTATTACATTATTAATAGCTCGCAAAGACGGTTGAGATCACCTGTAGGCGCGGCGTAGTACTAGTCTAGCTGAAACTACGATTGTGTGTGACTCAGTTTGTTTACACACAATTTACTTATTTCTCCTTATCTATTTATTTTATCATTTATCCACTTTAGCCCCGTTTAACTTCTTAGC